CCAGTTAGATTAACCAACCAATCAGGATTTCACAAGCACCATGCTTTGTCTACATCTGACCCATGCAAACGTCCAAATTACCGTCATTACTGGTAATAACGAGAATCATATTATGGAGCTGGGTTTGTTTGCAGAACATCTGCCTTATCTGCAATGCCTACATCAGAGATTTCTACCAGGAGCTATTTTTAAAGCCGTAAAACAATTCCCACCGCATTCACACGTACACATTCGCCTCGGTGTCGTTTACATGAAGAGGAAATCACACAAGAGGGCCTGAGAGGTCAAGTCAGGCAGCTAATTGGTGTGCAAATCATCCCATTTCAGCCCAGATATTGAAATGCCCACCATATCAATCCTAGCTGCGAAAATCCGAGCACAAAAACAGATATTTTGGTATAACTAGGGCCCACGAAATCACACGCAAACAACTCACACCAACCCCCGAAGCAGAGCCAAGTCAGAATCAGATCCTTGTCGAACGCACCACCCAAACAACACACATTTTAAATAACCTTACAATTAAAAAAAGTCGTTCCAGAACACTTGAGTGTTTGTCTGGATAAGCGCGCACACAACCACACACAAGTTATATGCTAAACAAGAGCGCATTTGTGATTGTGCAAACAAAGCGCAATCGGTTTTGCGCGCAACACAAAAGACCAAAGTCGACATTTGTGTCGTAACATGGAGAATAACAGGACTTGGGGTTCACTCGCGAATTAGCATATCACAGAAATGCCTACGGCCTTAATCTACAAATCGACTCGAACAAGTCGAATGCAAGACCAGCTCACCGAAGACAAGCACGACTGGCAGACACTGTCGAAGTCGTCATCGAGCGTCAGCGTCTGTGTTGTCTCGGTGTTGGACTCGGTGAGGAGGTGCGGGAGAGCGTCGTGGTGGAAGTGCTTGTGCAGGTAGCCACTCGTGTCCAAGGGGCCCTCCAACAGCGAATTGGCTGACGACTCCGAGGACTCTTCTTCTTCCTCCATTGCCTCTTCGGCGTCTTCGTCCGCAGCGTTGCCAGGACTTCGTCGACGTCGGCCACGCCAGGCGCCACACGCCTCCGACGGGTGAATGAGGGAGGGAAGGGACTTGGCGAGATCAACACCAGCTAGGGACTGCGGGGGAGGCGGAGTGGCGTTGGGGCGTTCCGCCACGGGTCGTGTGCAGATTGGAGGGTTGGAGGGAGAGAATTTCTCCGCTGACGCAACCGAGGGAATCGATATCGACGTCATGATGGTGGCAAGTTCGCGTGCCAACACACCGTGAGACCTGGGAGGATGGAAGAACCAGATGTGATGATGATGATGATAGATCGCATCTACACACACAGCAAACCACTGCATTGCAGTTCCCTTCCGGCTTAAAATTGTGTTAAAAAATAGAAAATATTTTCGAGGTGTTTTGTGATTTTGAAAAGGCTCGGACGCAAGGTTTCGGAATACCAAATGACAGAGGCAAGGCGTTTACTGTGAATTCCATCAAAGAAAACGTGCTTCTAAAGCGCGGCAATCAATTTGTAGTGTTCTTGGTGCTGACGTCGTGTCTTCTATGAAACGTGTAATCAAAGGTACGAACGTTTTAGAGGTGGTGATTCTGATCTTAATGACCAGCTGCGACGCCAACAGCCCCGAAATCGCAAACTCTGCTCGATGTGGACTCAACGCAAACGCACCGAGAGCAACAGCAGCAGCAGCTCAGTTTGGAGACACCTAAACAGCTACTTCCAGGCGTCAGCACCAAATGGGAAAATTGGACAGCTTGGAATTTGGGTCCCGTCATGTGTGTTCACCGAACACAACCCATGAACACATGCCTCTCACAGTTCGCCAGCCAGCAACAACCTGCGAAAGGACTTCCAGTGGTAGATTGTGACGGTTGTTTAAAAGTATACTTTTACGAGAATCCCAAACGCTAACAGTCGTGGGTAGATCCCAGGCAACCCTGTACATCGACATCCACTCGAAGAACGAGGTTCACCTACGTATCTGGTGGCACATGAGGGGTGTACTTCTTTATGAACTCCTGGAAATTGGCCAGACGGTGAATGCGGAACACTACAGCCGAGAATGGATCGAACCAAGGAAAGAACTTGATGAGGAAAAAGGTCATTTACTGAGCAGGGAAGCAGGCAAGTAGTACTGCGGCATGACACCGCTCAAAGCCACATTGCTCGCGCGACGGAACAGTTTCGATCCACACGGAGGTGTTTTCATTTTGCTCTTTCTTTAAGACAACCAGAAATTAATTTACATTCCTAGAAACCTAGCAGTAAATGCGTAGCTACCGAAGGTCGGAGGTCAACCGGGCTGTAAAATAATGTGAGGACGTAATTTAATGATTTGCAGTAGCTAAATGACTTCCATGTACAACATTCACACACACACACACACACACATTCATAATTTCAAACTTGACAAACAAGCACCTGATTTACAATCTTTTAGTGAAGAAGGAAGTTGTGAAAAACGCTTTATATTTTCACCCCACGACGGATTAAAGGGAGCAAAGGGCAGTTGTTAGTTTCCGGTCAGTTGAAAAAAAAAAACAATTTTTTTTCAACCTAAAACAAACGCCCACGTTTTTGCGGGCAGTTAACCACTATCGGGGCAAGTCCAGCAACCGTGTTGCCGCATTTTTCACCACCCTGTCCCCTCACGCCTTTGCCTACGCACTCGATCCTTCGAATGTGAGTCTTTAGCAGCCTCCGTCACTCGTGGGCCCTGTGTGGACAATCGGCTACGCCACACCATTGGATGGCTGTGCAAAAATCGCCTTCTCTCAACTAACCACCAGGGCCTGATCCGTGATTGGACGGTGCGCGCAGCGGGACATTCACCTACCCCAGATCCATGTCCTCGTTGTCCGAGTACATCCATTTGTGCACGGGCGAGAGTGACAGACTGCTGGTGGAGTGTGCAGACACGCCGGCGCCAAGGACGGGCGACACGACGGGAGAGAGGACGTCTCCACGCGGCGTGATTGGTCGAGAGCGCGGCATCTCCATGCCAATCACCGACCGGCGCGGGGGCAGACGCCGCTTCTTCTGCCTCTGAAGCAGACTGTTCAAACTCGTAGCTGAGATGAGGTGTGCCTGGCTACCGTCGATCGATTCCACACCCGGCACCTCGTCAGAGAAGATTACGTCGAAGTGCGTGATGAAGTAGGTCGTTGCGAGGTTGGAAAGACTCTGTTGTCGCAGGCCCTACATGTTAGACAATCACTTCACACAGTAAGTAACTTTAGGTTATGAGTTTGTAGGCGTAAAACACACAAAAAGGAACCAAGACAACCATGGTCCAAATAGCTAAGTCCACTCCGAAGTGAATGATTGCCGTTATGAGCCAATGTGGCAAGACGTGAAGACGCTTCAGAAAAAGCGATAATTCACCTTAAAATAGCTGATATTTCAGCAAAACTGTGCAGCTTTGGGCTAAGCCTGTTGACCCAAGTAATCATAATTCAGCCAGAGTGCGCGTTACCCCACACGATTTGAGGACGAATCGAAAGCGCTGAGCAATTAAAACCGAGCTTGCTACTGCGTGCTCGTCTCAGCAACACATCACGCCGGATCTTCAGAGACAGCAGATGCTTTTGCCGAACACGAAGACCCTTCTGGCTTCTTGAACAACTCTGCTTGTCTGGACGATCCCTGCTTCAAAATGAAGCGACGCTCGACTCGACATTAGTGCCTTTGATTGATCAAATTCCAATCCATATGAGATCTTACAGGCATTTGCAGAAGAGAGTTAGATATGAGCGGAGTAGCTGATTCACCCACTAAAACGGTGGCGTACGTGGATTGCGAATATTGATTGCGCACTGAACTACTTGCTGATTTACCAAAAAAAATAGCTCAGAGTAAATGCCATCTTCGGTTGCACTGAGGACAAATTTACTTGCACACACAGCAGTGTGCATTCCTCCTGTCAATGCCTCCGAACCACACAGATGAGTAATGCTAAAATTCACATTTAACGCCATTACGGCAGGACAGACGATCACGCGGAAAAGACGCACGCAGAATCGGTGGACAACGTGTGCACCCTCTCTCTGTACCGAAGGTGCGACCACCGCGTTACCCCTTATGCCTGGTGGCCATCTTTGTGAACACTGCCCACTGCCACAAATCCTGTATGGTGTCACGGTTTACCGGGATTCGATGGGACAACGACATCGCGGTGTCATTAATCACGATTATATCGCAAACGAAAAACGCAACAATTTGAGGTCCTGGTGTGCAAACTGCGCAGCATGTGTTTATAAACGACAGAACGAAATACTGCAAGACAGTGATTAACAACCCCAACATTCGAACCATGGAAGTAGGAGCCTTGTTTGAGCAAAGCATGCAATGAAACGTGTTAAACCAGGTCAATCATCTCCAGCTTGCACAACTCTGCTGCAAAGCAACAAGAAAACACACCAGTACCGGTTAGGTGAGCCATCAACTACACGACTGTGTCTACACCGCCTCCTTCAACCGGTAGCTCAGTAACCAGAAAACGTAGTAGAATGACCTAAGTGGTGTCATTCAAAAGAACAACGTGGTACAATACCACATCATATTCCCGAGGCTACCAGCTTTTCGGAAATACCAAAACATTGTTGTAATGGAGTGGGCATTTAAATGCGGCAGTCAGAAAAACCAGACTTTCAGAAGTGCTGGGATAAAAACGCCCTCATTTCACAGTTGGAGGAACTATTCCGAGGGCTTAACACACTCAAATGGACATGGCGGCAGACGTTGCCCCCATGTAAGAAGACCTAATGGTTCATAGATCGGCATGCAGAGAGCCGCCACAAGCCAGGGCAGGAGGGTGTGGTGGTTGCTGCCACTGGCAAGATTGCACAACACGAACACATGTTGGCATTTCGGTATAACTACAAGCCCAACGAAACCCACAAACTGGACGGGAACATCACTGCAGTGATCCACGGCAATAAATTCTAATCACAAATAATTCTCGTCAGTGTGACGGCCTACCACGACATGTAGAAATCGACATGGCGACCGTGAAAGCGAGCCTATTTCTGCTAAGAAAGAGAACCTAATGTTTCCAACAATGTCATGGGCGATTCTGGCGAGAATTGTGGGGGGAATATGGAATGCGAGTAGGATTATGACTGTTTTACAACTGCAAACCAGACATTGACAATTGTTGAGAAGTATATAGGATGTATAAATTGTGTAACATCCCAGGGATTCACACCGGCAACAGGTAAGCAGCTAATTAACCCCAGTCAAGTCTAAGTGGAACAAAGCCAGGAACGTAGATTAGGGCCTACGGACCGAAAATGTCAATTAAGGAGTGGTTGTAGACGGTGTAGCATGGTCATTAGTCAGTGGACATTATAAATAAGGGTTGTGTGCTATTTTGGTCAGACACCGACGGCAACGCAGAGCATATTGGTACTGCAAAAGCACTAACTGAACATAATCTTTATTACTTTGTTAACTCGAGAAACAGCGATTTCTGGGTGTATAGATTACCTTTCACAACTGTATGAATTGAATTTAACAAAATGGATAATATGACAAAGTAATATAGGACGAACAGCGGGTGTACGTAGTACAAGTCAAAATTTCAAATTTAAAGCCTCTTATGAAAGTGTTTTCAGAATCGGAGAAAGCAAGTGAAATAAAATAAGCATGTTGAAGTCAGAAATCGGCTTTTCATATGGCAAAGCTTAAGCTGTACATGGAAAATGGAATTGAAGAACGACTTGCCTGCATACCAAGACCACACTTAAATAAGCACGGACCAAAGACAATGCCCAAATTGGAAGCTGACATTTTGGTTGATGATTCATTGGCGACCAAAATCCTGAGGAATTGACATATGTACATCAAAAGGTTGTGATTCTCCTCGGGTAGACTTGCAATCACATTTCTTAACTTCAGTACACACTGAGGTTTTTCATTTTTCAGTTGTTCCATAATCTGAAAATGAATTTGACCAAAAATTACGATTAGACTGAACATGTTGGAAATCAATAATGAAGCGAGTAATCCACCTGAACAAGCATTTTACAATTATTTAGTCAGATGTCACAGCAGTGTTAATAAAAATAGGCTTAAATCAAGTTTAAAGGCGTTAGTTACACATAACTATAGGCAATAAATGGCATGAACAGCTTCAAAGAAAAGTAACCACACGTTACCACATACAAATTGGCATGTGTTAACATTAATCGACTAAAATACGCCAGTCTCTTACTTTAACGATGCGTTTAGTTGCTGAATCTGGGATGATTCCCTCCGGTATCTCCCTTAGGAATAATTTGAATACACCACAAATAGCATGGATGTCGTTTTGTGAAGATCCATCCAGATTGTCCGCAGCGGTGATATCAAACTGAGTCCGCAGGTTGGCGATTGCTTTTGCACTTCCATTTACACGGAAAATCCCCTCCGTTTTCATACCGAAACTCAACAAGAATTCACAGATGTTGGTTACAATTTTCGGAATCAAAATAGATTTTTTGTATATTAGTGCTTTTATAGGAACTCCAAAGTTCCGTGGTTTTTCACTTAACGACTTCCGTTTACACAGCGGACTATTTAGTTTCTGTACAATTCGGTCCATTGGGCATATACAGCGCCCAAAGGCCCGAAAAGGGAAGCAACCACTGAATCTAAATAACGCGGGTCAGGTGCAATTGGACAATGTGTTTAGGTAGTCTACACTAAACGATGAAACAAATTTGTGACCTTAAAATATTTCCATGGTTTGCAGGTTAAATATGCAACTAGCGACATCCCGATTGCCATCTTCTTCAATATTTGTTTGAACATAAAGCCTAGAACAGTAAAAGCTCTCAAGTTTATTGCATTTACTTTCATGGTCCATAATTGTGAAAATTTAACAAAACACATTATAAAAAGGGCAACATTAAGCAGACTGAAAAATTTTGTAAAGAACCTTTAGTTTTTCTATTTGCTTAACAAATGACACAACTTTCAGTTTTGTCGTGGAAATCTTTTAATGGGAAATCCTTCAATTCAAAATCGGCATTTGCCTGATTATTGTGACTAGCTGTTTCTACATGCGATGCTGCCAAACATGTCCAAATTTCGAAAAACATAGTTGTTCAAATCTTTTGAACCATTAATGAGCTTTGTCTTCAAATCTCATTTTACCTCTTTCACAAAAACGCTAAATTATATCTGCCATGTTGAAGAAATGGCAAAAACTATCTACTGCAAGATATCTTTTATCATTCCTCTTGCTTGTGTATACACGATAAATTACTGTTATTAATCGATTTTAATCGGCTTGGTTTGTGACAACAATGTTCTGTATTCCGCCCTTTCTCTACATCCCACGCAGCACCACAGTTTTAACAGATTTATTTACGCTAAAATCAAAACACATACTCCTACACCTAAACAATTTTCAAGCGCTTTTGTAATATCAATAAAAGATTGTCATTTTGTGAATTTATCACAATGCAGATATTTAGTTGCTCCAAGTTGCAATGTGACCGTGATTAAAATTGTGTGAGCTTGTTTTTAGCAAAGTTATTAAATAATCTAATTTTGACTTATAGACAGGTAAAATCATTCACTTTTTCGGGCATGTTTAATTGTTGACAAGCCTATAAGATCCATCCTTAAGTGGAATTTTGTTTACCTTATTCAAATAATTTAAAAGGGGAACTTCATCTACTTGTCAAGGACCTGATCCTTCACGAGCCCCTTGAGTTTGAATCGAAACTATCTGCTCAAAAGAATCCCAGGATCTAATTGCACAATTTTTTTCCAATATTCATCGTAGTTTTCATTAAAGACACATCCCTGAAAGCGATTTCACATACACGAAAGTGTCATGAATCTAATTTGTTACTGCAGTGGATTATCAAGGTGTGCGAATGAACGGAAAGTTGTTTAAGCCGATTAAATTGAATGACTTTAATGTACATGAGTCTCTTTTACCGTGCATTTGTCTTGTTTGAGCACGCAGGCACAATAACACGCTATTCTTGACATCGATTAAATGTTTGCGTTAACTAGATAAAAAGTCATTGCAGAATAGGGCCGTGGTGCATTCCTGCTGTACTGGTACTTTAATCGATGTACTTCAGCATTCCGTTGATGCTTCATTACCATGCTGTTCCATCCACCTCAGCATTTACCGAATGCTCTTTTATGGTACAGATAATTTCAACTTAATTCTTTGGACTAAAAATCATCTATGCTATCTAAATCTTTATTTTCCGGATAAAATGATGATTTCTGTAACTCGAATTAACGGTATTAATTGATTGAAATAAAATAATAATCTCGGTGGTCAGGTGTGATTTACTAACAATGGCAACACCAAGATGTCTCGCAATTAGGCCCATGTAAAAACAAACTTAACTATCAATTATTTAAATCTACACAAATATTCAGTTCTTTATTGGAAGGTTCCCACAATTGTGAAGCGGAATCCATGGCATAATCTTTACTTCGAAGACCGCGGAACGGCCTTGAACCACGCCAGGCCTCCAGTTTTCATTGGCTCAATTACCCATTGCAAAAGCTTGAGTCATTAAGGAAGTTGTAATGAGGCAGACCCAATCATGTACCTGATGTCATTTGTCTGCTTGTTGTGTCTCTTTTCTTACGACGTCTTGTTTAACTAAGGAAATTTTGACTAACCGAGTCGGAGTGATCTAGTAAAAACACAAATCTGAATAGATGGGCGAGTGGACCAAGATTGGGCCACAAGTTACTGGTCACATTTGACCTTGTAAGCGTAGGTGGGCGCCGCAAAGGTGGAAGTGGGGTGTACATGTGGACTTCACTAAATACACTTCCATTGTCTTTGTTAACAGGCGTCAGTGGATACGCCCGTTTATTTGCGTCAAGCCAGCCAAGTGTCTTTGTGTGTAGATGAGCACGCGTGCGTAACTAGTGGCTGATATACTAACCAATGGGTGATGGAGATGAGTAGATAAGCTTCGTTCACGTGCACTCGTCGGCAGCCCAATGCACATTCTGCATTTTCAGCGTAGACTGGGTGTTTGTACTCTGGGAAATTGATATTCACCTGATAGACTTTCTGGAAGATGTGGTAGTAGTCTTCACAATACTCATCTACCTTTTCATTCAGTGGGTGAAGTACGCTTCAACAATGGGGTCTTAGTAGTGTTGATTGTTGAGAAATGCCAAATTGTTGTAAATCTTGACCTGTGGACTTGCGTCGACTAATTGCATCGTGGGCAGCTTCAACAATCTGATTTGTTCCAAAGTTAAAAGCAGACTTTGATCCTCTATGACATGGAAAACCATCGCACAAACCCACTGATTTAAAGCACCGAATGAGACATAAAAACGTATCCAGTTATTGGTTATTCGTCCCAGGCATTCCTAATGCACGATTCCTTATTTAAAACAATCACGTTACCGCATACCTCAAACGAGAAATTCAGCCAAATTGTAGCCGGTATGATCTTCTCACATTAACCATTTCAGGTAACATTGTGTAATACCACTCACCACTGTACCATTCCGTGGAAAATTTCAAAATGCCTCTGTTGGGTATTTCAAAGAACTCCATGACATTCTAATTAGTACTGAGGTTAGTGTCTAAGGCTTGGCTCTGTTCACACGCCCGCTACTCTAGAGTTACGAATTACATAACCTTAAATACTTGTGGGTATAAGCACGTGATTCGTTAAGGAGAATAACCCGTCATGTTAAATTGTTATCGCGGTTATCATAAACAATAAGCATCACGACACCAAGCTAAGGAAACAGCAATTGTTAAACTGTGGTTGTATACATATACCAATTCCAAGTTTGAATTGAGTTCTAACAAAACCAATGTAGTAAAACAAAGACTAATTACACGACCAAAGTTGCAAGAATCACGCTGCGGTGTTGTTCACACTAACAACGCATCACTCAACGGTAATCAATCTCAGCCCATCTATCCAAGATTACCCAGGCATTCATAAGTGGCCTCAATTTGCACTCGGACTTTGTTCTGTTCTAAGTCGTTGAGTTGCTCGTCAAAGGGTTGGGTTATGCGCTGCGTTGCACCGGGTAACCAGTAACAAGAATGAGAGGAAGACGAACGTTTTTATCTCTGACCAAATTAACCGTCCATTCCTACAGCGTGCATGAACGTGACCAATTAAAACTTCGCCCATGCATCAAGCGCACATGCCTTCACAATGACAGGAATGTGAATTAGTAGGACGCCAAGTCAGATAGTACACATACCACGCTGGAAAAAATTAGCTGGTTAAACGCATCGCCTTTGTCTTGAAGTGATTCCTGCAAATTCACGTCCATCACCCAGTTCCTCTGTGATCTTGAGGACAGGCATGACAACCCGCCAGCTCTCACACGCACTCTTGTGACGCTGACCTCTGACCTTACGCGCACTCAGAACACACCGTCATACATGAGTTGAGCAATCTACCCAATGACTGTACATCCGTCGTCTTTAGTCTTTTTGACATTCCGGATACATAGATGACCTACTAACATGGCATCAAATCAAAGTACATACATTACAACCTCTTTATTGGTGCTTCCTCAGCTGTCGCCGGTCTGAAACGCAAAATCAGCTGAGATCGAAACGCTAAATTAATTAATTTCTGGAGGACATAAAAGAATAGCTTGTCTTCTAAAGTTCTTGCAGACGGGTCGAAGATGGCATTGGGCTTTGTCTTGATGGTTTCAGTGTGTTTTGGGCCTCCACGCAAGCACGTCGAAATCTCGCTGCTTCCACTCAACTCCACCGAAAACGAGGTTTGCGTATTCCAGTTCATCTGACGCCTTTAAACACAGAAAGCAGAGCGTGGTTTCGACAATGTGTGGGTCTACCCCAACTTGGAAACGCCGTTGCTGGTTGAAGGAGGACATGCTTTTGAGGACGAGTTAAGTGCTTTTCCCGAAATTCTAATGACGATGCCGTGTGGAAAATCTTAGGCAAGCAAGGTCTGGTTATTACAAATTTGACATTTTTACTAAAACAGACTAGTCCATGGAGTTTGTTTGTAGCAAAGCGCTCTCCAATGCATGGATATTATGAGTAATTCGTGGCACATGAGCAGATGATCAAAATGCCGCTCGAATATCGATTAGATTGACTTACCCAACCACAGCTGAGTTCATAATAAGGGAAGGGACCGGTCAGAGGTACCATACCTCTGGCAATGTAAAGAGAATTTCCGTCTGGACTTCGTGTTCCAGCTACAAGACGCTTGTTTCGAATGTCCGGTGAGCTCACATGAACCCATTCCACTTCGTTTTGGTCTCTGGAAACGATAAAAGTCAAAAAAGATGAGGACTCTCTAGAGGTACAGTCGTTCAGGCTCTCTGGTTTTTGATGATAACCCTCTCTGATTGGTTGACGAGTAAACCACTTAATCAATTGATCGTTCTTTGAGAGGTTAGAGCTGGAATTGAACCAGTCACACCCTTACCCCAACCCGCTTTTATTACAAATAACATCACTTACCAGTCATGTAAGCACGATCACAATCCAACCTCTCCAAAACATAAATCAAAGCTGGTTTCAATAACCACATCTGATCACAATTTGTTCCGGAGACTTCAAACGCAGCCATAAAAACCACATGCCTGGTGCTGCTTTTAATCCAGTTTTGTTTACAAGTACGCTATTCACACGCAGAGACACGCAACGCATGGCTGGACATACTGCGGATCCACGCGTGTGCAGCATCCTCTACTTGGCTGTATTATCTCACATTTTGACCTCACAAAAAGCCTTATAGATGTTAGGTCGCATTTGTGATGCCTTGTAGATCGAAAAGATTAACCCAGAAAGGTCAAATTAGACGCGTGGAAATGGGCAGATTACTGACATGATATTGTAGTGAACTGCATTACTTTACGTTCATCCGTAAATTCACACCTCTGAGTAACTTGTTTGTCTGTTCCACTACCCCTCTCTCACAAGATTTCGAAGAGCGATTTGGCCCAAGTGCGAGACTGACAAATTTTGCTCCGATCTGGCTGTGGTTTCTTATCAAATCTACGACAGCGACAGCGAGCAATCGTAAAGCTCACATAGTGGATCAAATCCCATAGATACTCTTGATATTTTCCAAAATGGGAACGGGAATTAGATGCAGCAGCGGGACTTAAACCCAGGTCATCCACAAATCCCAGTTTTTAATATTTTCTCAGGTACTTGAAGCAAACCATCACTGTTAGGTATGAGAACACGTCTGAACGCGTTTCCGTGTACACAACCTTCTCGTGTACGCTCGGACCCAACAACACACAAATGAGTTAGCGGATCCAATAGAGGGCTGAGGGTATGTCACCTCTTCCGATGTGAAGGATGATCACCCATTTTCCCCCATTTCCCCAATGACGAGAAGAGAGAGGAATACCCAAGGCGTTAAAACATCCCTTAAAACCCTTTCTTGCTTGCTTTCCACTAAACACAGGCTTCCGGAACACCTTACCTCAACTTAATCATTGATTCAGTTGAGAGAAAATGTTCCAGGGGAATTTACACACACACAATACCAGGGAAAATTTTGAGTTAGTTTACGTGATCATTGTTCCCGCTCTCAGACGAGCACCAATCTCAAGCTTTAAAATGCTTCCAGCATTTTTAAATTTCGAATTAGACGGTAGTATAGAGGTAACTTTAAATATTTGTCGAATGTTTGTTTTATTGTCCATGATTTTTTCTACTTAGCGGGAACAAACAGAAAATTAAATTAGCATAAATTTTGCATATCAGGTTCGTATTTTCAGTTGACATTTCATTAAAACAAGCTCTAAATTGCCATATTGATAACCACTAATGTGTCTCTAGGTTTTAGAAATATTAGATTAATGGATTTCAAATGTTTAGATTAGGATTTCAAATGTTTAATGAATAAAATCTACTCAAAAATTGCTTAACTACATGTGACATGTTAAAATTGGTTTAAGAGTAGTTAAAAGTAAGTACTTAATACTCACGCAAACGCCTCATCCATACAAAGAATCTGTCCGTCGGAAAGCACTTTCTCGCAACCGTCAGTTCCAGCATAAAATGATCTGGTCTTCTCCAAGTATTTGCAAGGCGTTGGTCCGTTCGCAGTGTCTACCAAGGCCACGTAGATGGGGAGATGCAATTCATGAATGTCAATTGCGCCCTTAGGAAGAGGCGACGAAACGGGCTTCCAATGAAGACCATGGGGTAAAGGAGAGACCTCAGGAGCAGAGGTGTCTACTGGGAGACTGCGTGATTCACCCGAACTGGGAGCAGCTAAATCTGACGCTGTCGATTCATGTGTCAAATCAACACAAGGGGCAGTGTCCTCGTGACGATCTTCGTGCTCACCGGCCATGTGCTCCTCTTCTGCGGTTCCAACATCACATGGGGCATCTGGCTGAGGTGGAGGAGGAGGAGGTTCATGGTGTTCCTCTTCACAACTCACCATCTGCACTTCAGGAGCTGAACATTCACCCAACGAAATGTCTGCTGGAACAACGTCCTCGTGATGATCTTCGTGCTCACCGGCCATGTGGTCCTCTTCTGCGGTACCAACATCGCAAG